CTCTTTTAATATAAACCAATCATAGATACCAGGATAAAAAATTGGAAGTGAGAAAGTTTACATCACAGATGATTGAATTTATGCATGAGTTTATATCACCATTCCCTTTACAATAATTCAATCTTACAGGTAATTAAATAATTGTTACTTTGACCAAATTTCTGATTAAGGTTATATTGTTTCTTAAAGCGCCAAGACAATAAGAGGATCAAAAGATCAGGTTGATGAGCTATTCAGTTTATTTCCACAAAATTGATTTTGACATTCGTGCTTACAATGTATAATTAAAGTTTTTCTTCTCTATAGTTTCCTTATGGAATAAATTAATGATCAAAGACCAAGATATATTTCCTTTCCATTTACCGTGCAGGTCAGTAAAAGGTATTGTGGTTGCTTTCCAGAGAAAACTTTGCGATACCAAACCAACACGCAATAAAGCCCTTTTGGCAAATCTTAAAGTGTAATGAAAAAAAAACCTGGTTCTTCGTTAATAGAAACATATAGCCATTCTAAAAATTACGCTTGTTGGATACATTTTGTATCAGCACTTATATAATTCTACAAATGATTACAAACAGCAAGTAATCATTTGTACCGTTGTGGAAAACAATGGGGTCTGTTTTCGTTAAATTGTCTTCGGAACTTCCAAATATAGAAATATAAGGCTTTCGATACTCACCTTGGTATAAGAATGAGTTTTTTTTACATTTGCGAGATATGTTTTTCTTCGGTGTTTCTCATGTTAAAGAAAAGACTACATTTTGATTGTTTAATCTGACACTTGCCGAAAGATATATAATTTGACAAAGCAATTTATTGATTATATAAAAGGCTGTAATTTGATTTTTTTTATGGCTTTGCTTCAGTCTTTAGTTTGTGTTGACTACTACGTTTATATATTCACAAATCAAGTAAGGGACATAACACGCACCACTGATTTTTCGTTAATAACTCAATAATACTTGCAATTATATATTAATTGTTTACGATAACTATAAAAGCAATCTTTTTTCTAGAATTATAATAACATAACTGAAAGTGCCGGTAAATCAGTTTTGAAAATGTCCACATTTTTTAATGATGCAAGCACCTGTTCACTACTGTTTTTCGTTCAAGAAAAACACGGAAGACTATACAGTGTAATCTTTTTCTACAATGGGTTTCCAATGTAACGTCACGTTACCGCCTAATGTGAAAGTCAGGAGTGGTGACGTTTCAGACGTCCACCTGCTGTATTTCCGGGCTTTTAATTTTGTGTGATGTTATAAGGAAATGTGATAGCCGTTTTGACTCTTTTTGCTATTTTTAATCGACTAATGATATATGATTACCAGTACTCTCTCTCATACGTTTTGAATATAGTAATTCAGGATAGAACTATCTATTATTATACTAGTAATAAAGTTTTTTTAACTGTTACTCAGTGTTGAGTATTATTACTACATTTGTTCGTTGATTTTGTTTTTTATGGTTGTTTTTGTTTGTTTATTTTTCCCATCAATAAAATGTTAAAAATGATTCCATATCTTTTACATTTTTGTTTGTGCATCAAACTGGGAAAGTGCTGCCTGTATTTGCGCTAATTTCTTTTCCTTCATTTGGGCCAATTTACAGGTAAACACAAGTCATGAGACATATATTTGTATAGAATTTATTGATATATTGATATTATAACAAAAACATCCCCTTCTGTCTGCCATCTGCCCCCTGCTCACCACGGAAGCTGGAAGTTTTTTTTTTTTATCTTTATGGAAGCTGGAAGTGAAATTTCGATCAGGATAAGTATATTGTAAAAGTTTCTCAAACTATATACATCACATGTAAAATAGCATTTTTTTTAATAAAAATAGGAACAGTTTCACTTCAAAAGCACATTTGCATATGTACAAGTCTTTCCTAGCTGAGAATTTGTATGCAATCCTTCTGATGAAATGCGATCTCTACAACATATTCGATAATTTTCACTAAAAAGTATGTTTTTTCCTTTTCATGTTTTCTTTCGGCTGCTGGCATGTCGAGAGATTTGATTTTTACATAAGTTGTTGCCTGAATTTTCTTTATGACATCCATAAAAATGTAAATTTTCGGGTAACAGAATGTGTCAAAGAGACAAAAACGCGATGAAAGAGTTCAATGCCAAAATTGGTCTTCAACGCAGCGAGAAAATCCCGCAACCGGAGGCGGGCTTCTGTTGGTCCTTAAACATGTATATATCTACATGTACATATGACATAAACATCTACTCGTTGAACACTACTTACTTGCTACGTTGAGTAAACGTAAGTGGCGGTATTTATCTAAATGTATCAGATCTTACCTTTTCAAATTAAATTGGTGCAAATGAAAAATTGATAATTGGCGCAAAGGAAGACTTAATTTTGGCGCAAATGACAAGATGATATTTTCAAAATTGACGCAAATGTCATACACCTGTCATTTGCTAATCAAGAACTTATAGTTTTGTTGTTGACATCAATATTAGCCTGATATAAACAGATTTACCTCTATCGGAATTACAAAACAAATGTTCCATGATCATCTCAATGAATAACAGTCTGGTAGCGGTAAAAACAAGCCATCATTGCTATATGCAGTGCAACATAAATGCGTCGTTAATGCATGATAATTATGATAGTTTTGATGTTAATGGTCTAGGAAGCATCCGCTCCATGAACCCACATTATAATTTCATTACTGACATTTAGATGTTAAACATCTTTATTCTTTACAAATTGAATTTTCTTTTGAAGAATTTTACAAAAAATAACGACATTAACAACATAAAAATTTAAGGTCTTTTAAAATTCCACGTCATTCAGAATTATTGTGATTTATGTATCCCAAATCATATCTGATAATGTGCAGTGAATATGACAGTTCTGATTAGTTTCATGGAACATACATTGTGAGAATGATATAATATCATATCGTATTAATTTATAGACTACAGTTGTGCATTAACAATGTTATCAAAGTACACTCCCAAATGTCATGAAATTAAAAACATTTTCAAAATTAAAGTGTTTAGAAAGAAGTATTTTCCAAATGTTTAGAATATAATCTCCACCATACTTCTGTAAAACAAAATACCGTATATTGTAATGCATATGATTAGGTTGAAGACCTTTTTAATTATCATTGGGAATATACATGTACCTGAACTGTTACTATAGAATATTCACTTAAAAAGTGTTTTTTTTCAACTTTTTGATTATATAAATCAAGGAGATGTGGTATGATTGCTATTGAGACAACATTACTATCCACTAGAGTTAAAATGAAGTGGATGTAAGCAACTATAGACCACCATCATTAAATCATAGTTTATTTCGAAAAGTATTAAACTAACCATTTGTTCTTAGACTATTTTAAGAACTTCCGACATGTTCACCAATTTAACAAATCACTGCTAATACTTTAGTTTAGAATTATGTACCCATTTGTTGTTTAAAAAAAAAAAAAAAAAGAAAGATATTTTTAGAACTTTACCTGTGATAATATAATCGTCACAAAAATACGTCACTTTTTGTAACGTTGATTCATTCATGTGACGCGCAGTTTATATTTCGTTTGTGGTGTCCTGGTGTGCTGTCGTAAATTCATGGGAGGTGTCCGTTGTTACATTGTAGTTTACATGTTGTAATGTACTATTATAATATATATTTATGTATTTCTCTGTGCTGAGTGTTCCTGCGTTTGTTTGTACTGTATTCCCGTCACGTAGTGTTGTCATTTTAGCGGTATTTTTAACATAGCCTTTCCCCTTATATTTGACAACTATGTACTTAATGGATAGGGGATTGATGTATGCAGTGCTATCAATGATTTCCCTAAAACAAATTAATGTATACGAATCTATTCAAGTACACATTCGAGGATGTGCTCGACTCAAGTGACTCAGCTTGAGGTTTGTTTTTTTTTTTATTACAAAGGTTATTCAAAATTAATTTTAAATTTTCACTGTCACATGTACCAAATGTCCTAATAATCACGTGTTTGTGTTCGTATAGTTGCTGGTGTGGCTTTCTGTAACTATCTGCAGTTAAATATAACTTCAGCTATTAAAACCTTTTAAACAAAACAGCAGATTCAAACTAATGATATGACCTTTCTTATTCATAAGTTAATCACCAAAGGTTTCCAAAAGGGGAGCCAAATTTCTACAATAATCATAGAACTAGTACTATGAAACTGTAAAATGAAAAGAATGCAAATCGTATTTCAAGTCAAATATGTTTTATAAGAACGAGCCAGTTAAAAGACTTTTAGTACAATTTATAAGTTGGGAATGCAGTTTTTGTTGAGTACAAATTATTTGTTTTGGAGATACGTTTAGTTTAATAGATAGACAACATGTTTTGCAGGACCCATGATAATGCTACGTTTATCTGAAGTTATATATTTGGGACAATTTAAGTATTATAAATTTGTTCTATTTGCAAGGTTTTTGTACTGCTCGTATATGAAAAGTAGTAAAGAAAAATTAAATTGTTCTCTAACCGCGCAATGCAATCAACTATTTCACTGTTTCCAAATTGTCTTATATTCTTTCTACACTTTTATTTTTTCCATTTTATAAAATACTTGTACAGGTTATCAGTTTTATACAAATTTTAATCATCTCCTACTTGGTCTATTTAGATATTAGCTAATTCTGACAATAGCTGATCATTCGAGTATAGTAAAACATGGTATCTATTTTGTATTACTGAGCACGGAAAATAATTTTCAATTGCTTTTTTTTAACATAGTTAGTGGTCATATAGCGAGAGATACTGATTTAATTGACAGGGATCCTCCGCCCTCTAAAATAATTTTCAATTGCTTTTTTTTAACATAGTTAGTGGTCATATAGCGATTGATACTGATTTAATTGACAGGGATACTCCGCCCTCTAACGTTGTAGCTATGTATTGATTGTAAAGCTGATTGGTGCACCTTACAATACTGGTGTAACAATTTGATAATTATTCTTCATAACTTTGCTTTATTATCCAGTTAATGTAGTGGAAAAAAATTAATGACGATGGTGGAACAACGAACGACTTGGTGACACTTTGGCTTTTGAGTATGATTTTGCTGTGACGCATCTACATTTGTAACCCAGTGGGATTACTGACGTTATTGGTGACTTTATAAGTGTCATACAATAACAATCCAGGAGATTCTAGCTAGAAAGATTTATTAACGACGGTAAGTTCAGTTATATTGATTTTTTTTATTAATTTTGTCAATTAATTTAAGTTTAAAATAATGTATCTATGAAATGTTTACATTTATTCAAATATATATTTTTTTTTAAATCACATTTCCATTTTTCCCGATTACGACAGTTAACACACTGTAAAGGTTCACTGATCGCATTGGTTAGTTTAATAATTAACATCGCCACGTAAAATCTTTATACAATAAAATTTTTATGTGAATTCTTTTTTCATGTTCAGAAAAAAAATTAATTTCACGAAAGTTAAATCTCAAAAGCTAAAGCTGATTGTTGTCTGCTATATTTGTTTTTCATTTATTGATATATGATAAATCAGGCTTTTCGTTTCTCGTTTGAAATGATTGTATGTTTGTCATGTTGGTGCCTTTTATAGCGTTCTATACGGTATGGGTTTTGCTTATTGCTGAAGGTCATACGGGAACCTATAGTTGCATACATCCACACCATTTGGTCATTGCCTCATTAGAAATCATACCACCTCTTCTTATTTTCATATATTGCAATATTTCTTCTTCAAACCAAATGGTTGTTGTTGTTTTCAAATTAAACATAGGAGGAAACTAATGTATATCCATATACACGAAGAATAAAAAGGAGCACAATAAAACATTTAAAAAACTGAAAATAAGATCAAAGAAAGAAAAAAAGTACTTTATTTCAAAAATAAGATGTCAACAGAGAGTAAAAGGTATAAAGATATACAACCTATGCACTTCTTTTTTCTATTAAAGTTAGTCGCGATACAGCTTGTATAAAGGTTATATTAATTGTGGATGTCGTACCACGGATATGTAGGTCGACGATTAGTATACTTATAGATTTCAATATTAAAAATCATTTTGTATTTGATTTAGACGTAAACGATTTACCTTAGTTTGGTATTTTCAGCAATATTTTACAAAGCATTTGCTCTAATTAATTTATATTTGTATTTTTCAGAAAATGGATCGCAAAAGAGTGTTGTGCCTTGTTTTGTATTTGTTCCCTACATTCAGCAAATCATTTCGATTAGACTACCAATACGGAGCTATCCTTGATGCCGGTAGTACAAGTACAAAAGTTCACCTGTATAGATGGATTCCAAAAACAGTTGAGACTGACTTACCCAAATTTGAAGAGGTTGTATATAAAAAATTCAAACCAGCATTAAGTGATTTTGTTGGTGATGTTAAAATGATAAGACCTTACCTGAGAGAAATTTTCGCTTTACTGCAACAGTTGATTCCTGAACCCCTTCATGAGAGTACATCGGTTTACCTCATGGCAACTGCAGGTAAAATGATGTTTTGATGTGTTCTAAAACTGATCAAGATTCATTAATAAATGTAGAAAAAATCAGACACATAAATCTTAACATGTTGAAGTTAACTACTCATATTAACCGATACCTAGTTTAGTTCATACATGTTTTTGCACCGGTTTAACGTGATTATGTTATAAATTGTATTTCTTTTCGCCATGATATTCTTGGTGGTAATCCATTGACCAGATAGTGGCAGAACTATTAAGTTGGACAAAGATCAGAATTTGTTCCAATTGAATAAAATGAACGCCGAGATTCAGTTCAAATATTGTCGAGAAAACACGTCAATGGCAACAACTGAATGTTCCGAATAACCTTGAATATTTATGGTCTTCACTCATAAAGATTTGCATATTAAATACAAATTTCATTTCCAAATTTGAAATTTGCATTAAAATGTTAAATGCGATGATAATAAAAATCCAAATGTTTTCGGGGAAACTAATAATGATGAACTTAATTTGAGGAGGGAAATTTTTTTTTTAAGTAAAACACCTGCATAATTAGAATTATAATGCAGTTATTTTGTATCAATGGTTCTGATTGGATGACAATAAGCGTAAAATTCTCTCTCTCTCTCTGTCCAAAGAAGATAACATCATTTGGCGGAATTTTCGTTTAATGAAGATTTCACACTAAAATAATGACTAAAATTCAATGATTTGTTTATTTTGCATTAATATAGAGATAACTCTCTAAAATATAAGCCAACAGAGTTTTGATATGCAAACGTCAAATTGGTATCCACACGTAGAGGATTTCTTGGCAATTTGCGTGATGTGTAATCTCCTCGATATCACTATCTAATACGAAATCAACCAAGTCCAATTTAAAGGAGCGATGACACAAAATAGAAAAAAAGAAATGTATTTAGTAGTATAATCATGTAGTCATTAATTAAAGCACCCGATACTTTCCGGGGAAAAGGGAGGGGGTCATATGACAAGCAATAAAATTACTTGTAAAAGTTACGGAGGCACTGTTGTTAAGAATACAAATTAAATAACTAACTATTCCCCTACGCTTAACATATTTAGTGCTGACACGAAGAAATAAAAGCAAATAATCATATTCCCTACACTTTTTCGATGTCGTTCCGTAGTTTTAATGTCGGAAAAAAATCTACAATTTTCGAAAATCAATTTAATTGTGAAACTTATCCGGTAGTGTACTCTTTCCTTTTAAAAGAAAAACACTATTGTAAACATTCCCTGAAGTATTTGTCCTAGTGTTTCATTTCAGACGGAATAAGCACACTAGTGTTAAGAAGAAATACACTACTGAATTGCATTTACTGAAAGTTTACACGCTGGAATGAAGGCATGCTTACAATATCACCAAAATCACGTAGAATTTGACGACGCTTGTTTCATATGACTTGTTTTCTAACAGTATTTTTTATATTCTGGCCTTTCATAGATGAAGAAATATTTTTGATGTGTGCTGCCCTTTCTCGTTCTGTCATGTTAAACATAAAAAAATCTTCCATTTGACTTAGCTTTATTCGTTTGTTTTTTAAACAATCATATTGATTAATTTGAATAAAAACTTTTTAAAGCAGTTTCGAATTATACATTACACAGAAATATGGTTACTTTTGATTTTCTTCAGACCGGCAGTAGAACCCTTGTCAAAGTAGAGATTCCGTTTGATTGTGCGGGATGTATAAATACGAAACCACGTCCAGTTAGAATCGGAACGATAAATCCGATACATTGAGTATAGAGAGTGTCGCGCTCTCTACACGTAAAGAACCCTTCGGACAACTCTTTGAGGGTCCGTAGGTGGCCTGTCGCAAGGCTAAATTTCTGCCCCTTTTACGTTTTTCCTCATTTTCCAATGACAGTTCATATTCCCCGCTTTTATGGGCGGATTTTACATAGATAAATAAAATCGTATAATATAAGCAAAATGAGGATGTTAAATTTGATGTATGCCTTTTTGTGCTTCTTCGTTACATTTGTTTGTTTTTATAGTGATTAAGATGATAACACAATGTTGACTGCCGTACCCCTATTTTTGACATTTTTACCTATTGTGTCTGTTTGTTTTGTTCACGCATCTTTGTCAATATAATGGAATTTGATGCGACTGTCATACAAGTGAGAGGTTTAGCTAGCTATAAAACCAGGTTCAATCCACTATTTTCTACTTAAGGAAATGCCTGTACCAAGTCAGGAATATGACAGTTGTTATCCATTCGTTTGATGTGTTTGAGCTTTTGATTTTGCCATTTGATTGGGGACTTTCCTTTATGAATTTTCCTCGGAGTTCAGTATTTTTGTGATTTTACTTTTTTCATCTATGGCGACCCCTATTCCAGTATCTGCCTATTGAATATTTATTGTTTACTGTTCTTGTCCTGAACATGCATGACATATTTGCCACTGGAAGTTAAACAAACAATAACCAATATCCTACACTTACTACGCTATGGTCTCTAATGGCAAACATTGTTTAATTAGCACGATGCTAGGACGGTTCAACTTATTTGTTTCATTTCTGTAACAATTGATGTGAGAAGTCCGTGATGGTTGTGTCTGTCTATTATATTATGTTAAGTTTGAATAAGTTTCCATTAATGGAATCGTATTATCCAGATTAAAACCTCATCATTCAAAAGTCGTAAACAAATTCTAGATTTTTCAGATATAGCCGCATTGTTTCTGTCACTGAGACCACTCAAAAACTAAGTAGAATTAAGGATGGGTTTTCGGCGTTAAATGAAAAAAGATTAAGTAGTAAAAACTTTCAATAATATTTGGACCTTCACACTACTACAAAACAGCTAAAATAAGATTACAGGAAAATGAAATAAAAAACATGGATTTAAAAGCTTTTTTTCTAAATTATCAATCAGGTACTTAATATTCGTAAGCAAAATAAGGAAGTAGAAGAAACGCTAATAGAAATAATATATCCAGATCGGAAAATACATCAACATCCTTTCCTATCCCATAACCGTGAAGGAAATAAAGACTGTTAGCAATTCTTCGAAGCATGATTACATGTACAATTAGCACAGCCCCTTCATTCAGATAAATTGTAGGTCGAACTTAAAAAAAATCACTGTACTATTAAAACAATACTGATATTCCTTCCCCTATAAGGAAACGAAAATAGTACAAACATGTATACAGTACACAAGCAAAGTATACAGTACTGAGTGCAATTTAAACGCCAACATAGAAATACGTGGCAAAATAAATGTATTCTTCTTAACTTGGCACCAGTTGTTTTCCTTCGTACAAAAGATCTTATTTGCCTTTGAAGTTTTTACATGCGTTTTATATGTTAATTTTATGTTTAAAGGTTTGCGATTCCTTGATGAAGACAGTACTGATAATATTCTGAAGGAAGTTATATTGTTCATGTCAAACGGAAGTATGAATCCATTTAAGTACCTTGATGGCTATGCTAGAATATTGAGCGGGGAAGAAGAAGCTTTATTCGCCTGGATATCCATAAACTATCTTTACAATATGTTTGACATATCTAAGTAAGTTACTCTCCAATAGAAGTAAGGGACAACATTGAATTGAAGACTTAACTTTTGTATTAATATGTAGAATTTGATCAACTGGCAACTGTTATCGAAATCAATAAATATGGAATGGGTATAATAAGAACCAGTTATGATGCGTAAAGAAGATTTAACATGGATATCTACTTCAATTTATATTTCTGAATGTTTCTTAAATCTAATTCAAATCGATATTGTTAAATACAATAATTTGAATTCTCCTCATGTTTTTAATTTGTCTAACTATTTTGAAGTGATCTATCTTCTTCACATGCGTTTTATTCTTATTTTAGAAAAGCGCATTTGTCCATTATACAGTTAAATCTATACACTTTAAAGGGAAATGTTCAATCTTCTATATATTTTACTATAAAGGGTATTTTAAAACGTTTCATTAAATCACATTGTAACAGCTTTATTTGACTGTGTACCAATAGGTTCTAAAAACATTTTGTCATATTTTGGACTGACGATTAAGCCCAAAGATATTATAAATAGCACATGACTCAAAAGACAATTCTGACAAAATGCGACTGACTTAAACTAAAATTCTATTTATAACGAAGCAGTGTACTTTCATTTGAATGCAACTGCAAATTTATAACAAAGAATAATTTTATATCGTATTTGTCTTTTATTTGAGAATAACTGGCGTATTAAATTATAAGCATGGTACCTTTGATAACTATTTACACCACTGGGTCGATGCCACTGCTGGTGGACGTTTCGTCCCCGAGGGTATCACAAGCCTAGTAGTCAGCACTTCGGTGTTGACATGAATATCAATTATATGGTAATTTTTTTTTATAAATTTCCTGTTTACAAAAAATATGAATTTTTCGAAACACTAAGGATTTTTTTCTTATCCCATGCATAAATTGCCTTAGCCGTATTTGGCACAACATTTTGGAATTTTGGGTCCTCAATGCTCTTCAACTTTGTACTTGTTTGGCTTTATAACTATTTTGATCTGAGCGTCACTGATGAGTCTTATTTAGACGAAACGCGCATCTGGCTTATTAAATTATAAGCATGTTACCTTTGATAACTATTTACAATTTCAGAGTCAATTGATATTTGTAAATAATTTTAAAAATAAACTCCTTCAAGTATAAAATTAAGACTAAAAAAAATTCAATTTACTAGGTTTCATCAACTATTGGGTTTAAACAAGTAAAGATAAATGGGACATGAAAAACAAACAGATTAATATTTATTTATAGAAACTAAACTTTGATATTAAGTTGATGAAAATTTGTAAAACAGTTGTCCTTTTCTGTTCATAAAAGAGATATCAAAGGGACATTCAAACACATTAGTCTAAAATAAACTGACAACGCCACGGCAAAAACCAAAAGAAAATGACTTAACGACAAACAACAGTACACAAATCACAACATAGAAAACTAAAGACTAAGCAACACGAACCCCACAAAAACCGGGGGTGATCACAGTTGCTCCGGAATGGTAATTAGATCCTGCTCCACATGCGACACCCGTCGTGTTACTCCTATAACATACGGAAATAAGTTATATCAAGTGATAAGACATCACGCAGTAGCGGATTGGTAATTGACCATTATCTAACCCTAAGACATCACCAAATTCTAGACCATTGGTCATGTAAAATTTTCTAAATCCCAGGATATGAAATTTTGAAATTGAAACAAGTTTTTCATGACAAAGGATAGATAAGACTGATACCGGTATAAACAACATACACATTGAAAAATTAAAAAGCACACAGAACAACACTTAAAACCAAGGCAAGAGCAACATAAACAGCGTATATTGGGAGCTGACCTACACGTATACCTCTTTACGTAAAGATTTCTTGTTTATATCATTATATACAGTTATGTCCAAATGTCTCAAAATAACCTTGTTAGCTTAGTTATCATATAGATGAGAATAGAGAAATTTATGAACAAATCAATTATGTCGTAGACTCTAGTATATATGCATTGCCTCTCAACTAAGACATTTAAATGTCAAGAAAATTAAGCCATATTTGTTCTGGTAAAAGTTCTAACGATGAAGCTGTCACAACAAATAAATATTTGAAAGTTCAACATCAAAATTTTCAAGTCAATAATTTGTAATATTAAAGAATTAGTTGCCAATGTTCTGTGATTTTATTTTGATATGTACTATTATTTACATACAGAACTCCTAAGGATACTATTGGTATGGTAGAAGTTGGTGGTGGATCAATGCAAATAGCTTTCATTCCCGAAAGACCAATTTACGCGGGAAAGCAAGCCGTGATTATTGGCGGACGAGAATACGATGTATATGCACACAGTTTCCTCTCCTATGGCGCCAAATCTATTGGCATGAGGATTGAGGAGTATCTAGTTAGACAGAACATGCAAGCTGTCGTGCTGACAAATCCATGCATGCTCAAAGGTATATAAAACAAAACAAAAAATATTTAGAATTCCCAATTTTTTCCCGGGAAAGACCAATGAATTATACGTAAGTTTGTGGATATAGAATGAACTTGTACTATTAGTCTTAATAGTCTTTTATGTTTTTACAATGCCTAATAAAGGAAATTAATGCAGAAACAAATAACAACTTTTTTTCAATCGTTTGTTTTATGAGTCAATAAAAATGAAATTAAAAGTGCAGATTAAAGAAAAAGTATTAGTGAATGAAATTTAAATTCAAAAAAATTATGTAGCAAATAATGTCTGTGAAGAAGTTGAATTCAAGGAGACAATAAAACAAAAATGTCAAACGAACAAAGTAGTTTATTAAAAAACGGATGATTTAAAACAAAAAAATCAACAATTCCACAGCGAGACACAGAAAAAAATCTATACATTTATTAATGCAATATTCATACATTGTCTTGGAATATGAAATCAATGTTTACTACTCGGAGGCTTAGAAACAGGAGATTTGATAGTCCTATTTCTTTTCGAGGAAGTTCAAATAGATGTTCAAGACAAAGTGGGGTTATTACCTGTATACAGCATCATTTAAAACTGTTCAGATGAAAACGATCTTTGTCGAAAACTTGATTTGGACATGAAACATTGGACAAACATATTCAGAGAACCTGTTCTGCTGTAAAAGTGACAGCTGATTAAAAAAAATTATACTCTAAATGAGAAAAATGAATGTTATTGTGTAAATTTTTCTATTTACGTTAAGGTTTATCAAATAAGAAACTATATTGACCAATAGATTATTCACATAATTACATCTTTGACATGAAGGACTACACTAAGCAATGTATTTGTTTGTAGGCGATTCACACAACGTTACCTCGGACGGTAAGACTGTTACTATTCACGGGGCTAGTAATGCAACTGAATGTGTTCGTATCATAGACACATACTTACCGAAGATCCCAGAATTTCTTTGTTCTCCCAAACCATGTACAATTGGATCTGTGTATGGGCCACCAGTTCATAGGGAAAACTTCTTAGCATTGGGCTCAATATACCTGACAGCAGACGAGCTTGGACTTCTGTCTGATAACGACTTGATGAGACCAGTAGAAATGTACTTAATGGCAACAAATTACTGTAGATTGGTAAATATTATTGTTAAAAATAAGGATGCATGTGTCTTTTTTACACGACTTTTAATTTTTGCATTTTATTTATTTTGTCTCTACTTAGATTTAAGGAGAGGAAAATTATCCAGTGTAAAAAAACCCAATAAAATCCTATTCTAACAAAAAAATAAATTCTGACATGACACTAAGACGCTTGAATATTTCTTGACAACACATTTCGTATGTTCGTAGGATTTTTTATCAAGAAAGAGTAATTAAGTCTCCCAAACGAAGTTTGGGAAGACTTATTGTTTTTGCTCAGTTCTTATTATTATTATTATTCTTCTTCCTCTTCCTCTTCCTCTTCCGCCGCTTTTAAATTTGAACTTGTCCGCACCCGTTCTCCAAAACCGCTTGTCAGATTAACTTAGGGTTTCACAATATGTTAGACTAACATGTCTAGTGGTGCAATCAGGGTTTTGTTTGTGCAATGGGGTTTATAAAGGGGTACTTTGAGGGGCAAAAAGAAAAGAGGGTTTTACTATAGAACCCTATGGGATTTTATTTTTTTAAATTTTCAAATGATTATAAATTGAAAACCGTTTGTGATAGACACAATCTTTTTAATTGAAAATGTTCTAAATGATAAAACCCATTAAATGAAATACAGGGTTAGTCCCCAGGGGTCATCCCAACCCCCTGCCATTAATGAAAGTTCTAATACCTTGTAAGTGGTCAAGATCCTCACCCCTAAACCATATATATTCTGGTTTGTCATGCTAAGATGGTTTGAATGATATACAGGGTTAGTCCCCAGGGGTCATCCCGACCCCCTGCCATTTGAGAAAGTTCTAATATCTTGAAAATGGTCGAGATCCCCACCCCTAAACTGTATATATTCTGGTTTGTCATGCTAAGATGGTTTGAATGATATACAGGGTTAGTCCCCAGGGGTCATCCCGACCCCCTGCCATTTGAGAAAGTTCTGATATCTTGTAAATGGTCGTGATCCCCACCCCTAAACCATATATATTCTGGTTTGTCATGATAAAGCACATCAAATGAAATACAGGGTTAGTCCCCAGGGGTCACCCCCAACCCATGCCATTTGAGAAAGTTCTGATATCTTTTAAGTGGTCAAGATCCCCACCCCTAAACCATATATATTCTTGTTTGTCATGCTAAGATGGTTTGAATGATATACAGGGTTAGTCCCCAGGGGTCATCCCGACCCCCTGCCATTTGAGAAAGTTCTAATATCTTGTAAGTGGTCAAGATCCCCACCCCTAAACCATATATATTCTGGTTTGTCATGCGAAGTTGGTTTGAATGATATACAGGGTTAGTCCCCAGGGGTCACCCCCAGCCCCTTCTATTTAAGAAAGTTCTAATATCTTGTAAGTGGTCAAGATCCCCACCCCTAAACCATATATATTCTGGTTTGTCATACCAAGATGGTTTGAATGATATACAGGGTTAGTCCCCAGGGGTCACCCCACCCCCTGCTATTTAAGAAAGTTCTAATATCTTGTAAGTGGTCAAGATCCCCACCCCTAAACCATATATATTCTGGTTTGTCATACCAAGATGGTTTGAATGATATACAGGGTTAGTCCCCAGGGGTCATCCCGACCTCCTGCCATTTGAGAAAGTTCTAATATCTAGTAAATGGTCGAGATCCCCACCCCTAAACCATATATATTCTGGTTTGTCATGATAAAGCACATCAAATGAAATACAGGGTTAGTCCCCAGGGGTCACCCCCAGCCCCTTCTATTTAAGAAAGTTCTAATATCTTGTAAGTGGTCAAGATCCCTACCCCTAAACCATATATATTCTGGTTTGTCATGCGAAGATGGTTTGAATGATATACAGGGTTAGTCCCCAGGGGTCACCCCCAGCCCCTTCTATTTAAGAAAGTTCTAATATCTTGTAAGTGGTCAAGATCCCCACCCCTAAACCATATATATTCTGGTTTGTCATACCAAGATGGTTTGAATGATATACAGGGTTAGTCCCCAGGGGTCACCCCCACCCCCTGCTATTTAAGAAAGTTCTAATATCTTGTAAGTGGTCAAGATCCCCACCCCTAAACCATATATATTCTGGTTTGTCATACCAAGATGGTTTGAATGATATACAGGGTTAGTCCCCAGGGGTCATCCCGACCTCCTGCCATTTGAGAAAGTTCTAATATCTAGTAAATGGTCGAGATCCCCACCCCTAAACCATATATATTCTGGTTTGTCATGATAAAGCACATCAAATGAAATACAGGGTTAGTCCCCAGGGGTCACCCCCAGCCCCTTCTATTTAAGAAAGTTCTAATATCTTGTAAGTGGTCAAGATCCCTACCCCTAAACCATATATATTCTGGTTTGTCATGCGAAGATGGTTTGAATGATATACAGGGTTAGTCCCCAGGGGTCACCCCCAGCCCCTTCTATTTAAGAAAGTTCTAATATCTTGTAAGTGGTCAAGATCCCCACCCCTAAACCATATATATTCTGGTTTGTCATACCAAGATGGTTTGAATGATATACAGGGTTAGTCCCCAGGGGTCACCCCCACCCCCTGCTATTTAAGAAAGTTCTAATATCTTGTAAGTGGTCAAGATCCCCACCCCTAAACCATATATATTCTGGTTTGTCATACCAAGATGGTTTGAATGATATACAGGGTTAGTCCCCAGGGGTCATCCCGACCTCCTGCCATTTGAGAAAGTTCTAATATCTTGTAAATGGTCGAGATCCCCACCCCTAAACCATATATATTCCTGTTCATCATTTCTCAAACATTTGAATGACGTATACGGTCAGTCCCCACTGGGTTCCCCCCACCCCCAATGTTCTAATATCTTGTAAATGGTTGAGATCCCCACCCCTAGACCATATATATTCCTGTTCGTCGTTTCTCGAACATTTGAATGATGTATAGGGTCAGTCCCCAGGGGTTCCCCCCACCCCCAATGTTCTAGTATCTTGTAAATGGTCGAGATCCCCACCCCTAAACCATATATATTCTGGGTTGTCATGCCAAGATGATTTGAATGATATACAGGGTTAGTCCCCAGGCATCACTAATGCATTAACTTTACTGGACCAAACCAATTTTCACTGGACTTTGTCCAATGTCAGGCGACACTGGGAATTACGAATTATTGAAGCTTCGTTTGGGAGACTTCGTAACAGCATCCTGTTACAATCATTTCTTGTCATTCTTATAGGAATCAAATGTGCTCTTCTTCTAACTACTTCTTCGGTACTGGCATGGTTTAAAACAAACCTTCTTAAATATTCCGTTTATAAATTTTCAAATTATTAAGAAACTAAGGATTCAACTCTCTCAGGCAAAGTTGACCGTAAATAGATGTGACTATTATATTAAGGGTTTTTTTGGTGGTCATATAGCTCTTTAACTGTTTCAGATCTTATAGATCCATGGGTTTCAAATATTCGACTTTGAGCGTTCTTGGTGAATCCTTTTCCTTAATTTTTGTACAAGAAAAGTTTTTAATTATGGCTTTTAAAGAGAACAGAACGGTAGCATTATCATTACGTTCAACCTCTAGTATATGGATAAAAATCCTTGCACTTGAATTTGGCTACTTAATTTATCCCATATGTCGTATTGTACTTGAATGATAAAGAGTACTTCAAATACAGTAAGGTCTACTGCATACCTTGACTTATACTTTTAAACCAAAAACAAAGGGTTATTTGATATAGTTGCTAAGTCTTTAGTTTTATATGTTGTGGTTTTTGTATTGTCGTCTGTCTTTTGTCTTTTCGTCGTTTTTTTTTTGCCATGGCATTGTCAGCTTGTTTTAGACTTACGAGTTTGAATGCCCCGTTGATATCTTTCGCTTCTCTTTTACGACAAAAGAGATGATTTTTATTTTTCAACTGTAGTCTTTAAATATTAATGTAGCAACATTCAAGCAGTATCTGCATATGAAGTAAACATGAGTTCAAATCCTGATCTTGTGCATCTTATCACAATCTCGTTTACAGAGTATTGCTGCTTACGAAGAAGTTACTGGACCAATGTTTCCCAATCTAAAAATTGAAGTAATTTCATTCTATGTTTAATTGCATGAACTAAATTACTGGTAAGCATGTAAAAAAGTTTTTTGATATCAAATAACAGTCCCGATTTAAATTTTTATCATGCTCCTTCCAAAAGATTAATAGAAATTCCGCAGTTGGAACACTCGCATTTTTGACCGATGATTGGAGATATATCATTTGTAACTTTGCATTGGTGAGCAACTTTTTAAAAGATTTTGACTGTCTTTTACTTTTTATAATTTTCTAGGCAGGGGCTCTTTCCATTCATTGATCTTTCATAAATGTAGGTATATTTTGAAAAATAATGTTGTAATCTTCTGAATTTCTCAGGTTATATAGTCATTAGTATGGTAATATTTCCTCATTACAATTTATCGTGTTTTGTGGTCTTCGTACATACCTGTTTTTGAAAGTCTATGACTTTGTCACGGTCTTCTCCATTCAATTAAAGTTGTTATAAACGCTTAAAACTATTGAAGTGTTTAGTTCTTATTTCAATATTAGAGACAATTGTACAAATTCTTCTAGTCAAGTTCCGTGGTATGTTCTTCCTTGTGAGGTTTGGATGACGAGAATTAAAAAAAAAGATTTGTTTCGAGGCTGTGTGTTTGAAGTAATATCAGTTTCAATTCCTATATCCTTTTTAAATATCAAACTAGTATCTTGAAACGGTAATTGTTTATCGCTATATTCCATGATGAACTGAATACGTTTATTGATATTATTTATTAAGTTTCTAAACTCATTTAATTTTCTACGCTAAATGACCACAAGATAAAATAGTCGCCTAAGTAATTTTTTCCAATTATCTAAAATCTATTTTAGGAATTTGAGACCGAATTGTAATTGAGATCGTTTAAACACCTGAAATTCCAATGCCTAATAAAATTGAGAATGGAAATGGGGAATATGTCAAAGAGACAACAACCCGACCAAAGAGCAGACAACAGCCAAATGCCACCAATG